GCAGCAAATGCTCATGCGCTTTGGGAACGGGCCTGCTCTAATACCAGATGGTATGGTGGAAAGAAAAAAGAGAAATAGAAAAATCAAAGATCGAATTGATTGAATAACAGGAAGCTTACAATCCAAGCTTCTAGCTCTCTGGTGAAACCAAGATTTTGAACAAAATGATATCTAAGTCTGAAAGCAAAACCCTGAATACGACCACTATTTATAATAAAAGATCTTACTATTTATAATAAAAGATCTTACTTAAATTCCAAGTAATCCTAATTCTAATTGAAAAAAAAGAAGTCTTGATTACAACAAAAAATTTTATAACATTTTTACCCTTGATAAAATAAATATTTCCATAATAACTCTTAACTAGCTTAATCAAGCATTGATGTTGAGGCCTACCCAGCCTGTTCACCAAATGGCTTCATGCCCAAGCCCTCAATCAAGTCCATCCTTAGCCATATATTCCACCCCTCGGCCTACCTCTTCACCCTTAATTCCACCTCAACCTCCTTTCCCCCCTGGCTATCATTTTTTCCACATTCCCCCTCTTGAAGGTCCCCTCCCCCTCTGCTACCGTACAATCTCAGTGAAGAGCATCCTTCTCCCCCACCCACACATCTTTCCCTCCCCTTTGATAACCCCTCTTCCTCCTATTCCTCTTGTATACCGGACTCTAGCTCTGTGGACGCAAAGCCCAAGCCCATCCTCACGAGATCCTTTTAGTGATGGGCTTCCTGTGCAACAACCCTCATGAAGCCTTTGAAGCCTACATCAATGCTGATAGCGAATCTAGATGGCAGTGTAAGTTGAAGAATGTCAAAGGTAAGGCTCCTGCCACCAATTCGAGAGCATCCTGGGAGCTATTCAAACTATTTCAAAGTAAGATACGAGAAAAGAGAACCTTCAGCTAAGGTCCTCCCCATTCCCTCAGCTCCTCAGCATTCTCGTCACTCTACCAAGAGTGCCATCCGCTCCGTAGCTGTGCTATGAAGATCCTTATTTGGAATATAAGGGGTTTGGGCCACCTAGGAAAACGGCAAAATATTCGTCAATTTATTTCACAGTATTCTCCGTCTCTTCTTGGTTTGGTGGAAACCAAGCTTTCTTCTCCCTCTCTCTCCCAATTTAGAATATTTGGGGTTTTCCCTTGCCAGTGGTTAGCTCTGGATGCAATAGGACCTTCTAACGGTATCTGGGTCCTCTAGTACCCATCTCAACATGCCTTAGTTGCCTCTCACATTGTCAAGTTCTCTATCACAGTGACCCTAGCTAGGATCACAGATTTCCTCCTTTGGAAGTGCATTGTGGTCTATGGACACATCAAAGCGTGTGAGACTGGCCTGCCATGTCAATAAAAAATCCTAATTCTTTTATTCCCTCTTTCACACGCATGCACATGGACAAACAAACATTTATATTATTTGATCACATCCGCACCCACAGACTCACCATGCTTCAGATGGTAATGAAATCCGATAAACAATTCCTAATCAGACGAGGGGTGCTCCATCATGATAAATTCATACTTGGTATCACGCTATTGAAGGTTTACTTGAGTACTTATACTTCTTGATTCTAGAACAACTAAAACTAGCTATACTAATATATAATGTCCTCTGATGTCATTTCACATATACTTGAAACAGGCTCCGTAAGATTTGTTTCTTGTTGATCAGTTTTCTTTAGAAATCTCTACTAATGACCGAGTGCAAAAGATATGAGTAAGAGATATCTCAAAAGATCTAAGGACATTAGATGATCTCTTCTGTTACCTTATTCTTTACCTCACCAAATCATGGGGTAGACCCTATCTTGGCTGGAGCATTATGAAAAAGCTTGTGACTGATATTTATTACATGAATAATCGCTTTGTCAGACTGCAGTGGAGAATTATGATGCATGTGGATTTATTTCGTTTGGGTTTTATGCCTAGAGGATTCATAAGAAGATTCAAAACTTTTTGCTACATGATCCATCTATTTGGTTTCATTTCACCTAGAATTTGGTCAAATTTGGTTAGTTGTTCATATTTCTCCCTCTTCTTGTGTGTGTGTTTGTGAGAGAGATAGATAGATAGATAGATAGATAGATGAGAGAGAGAGAGAGAGAGAGAGAGAGAGAGAGAGATTCATAGATGATATGAATTGCATCACAAGACAAATAATTTTGTTGACCTGGGATTCGATTCATGCCCATAATCGGATGGCAACCTGCCAATGGAACATTTGGTAGTATGAAACGTTGGGATTAGCGACCACAAAAGTATAAATAGCCATTGAATATGGAAAATGCAACTTTGTATACTATTTGTTTGCCTTTTCTGGTTGCATTATAGATATTTGTTGTTTGTTTTGTTAAACAAGATGGTTTCTCTGGCAGTTAAACTTTTTCTCAAAAAAAAACAAGATGGTTTCTCAGTTACCTCTATTGTTAAATCAATGTAATTTTTTGCCGGTGGTAGAGATGGGATTTACACTAGTAGTATTGGCTCATATTTGGGAGAATTCTGTGCCTGATGAAAAGACCAGTATGTTATGCCAAGTGTGGAGGTCTTGCTGTTCAACCATTGCGTGCATGTTTTCAGCTCTGCTGCAGGAAGCTTGGTTGCTTGCTGTACAGGTACTATTTTATATTGTTATTGGATATTTTTTATCCCCTTAGGCTGGAGGAATATCCAAATAACTGGTTAAAGCTCAATTTTTGAAATTGGGATATTCTCTGTGTGCTGTAGTCTTTGGTCGTATGTGCCATTATAAGTAATCTTGTAACGATTTCTCACCATTTCCTCTTAGTTTTACTGTCTTTTTATAGATTTGTTTCAAGCACCTCATTCATTATACATTCTCCTTTTTCTCCTATATATGCATAGTAATTTTCAAATTTTGAATACTTGTTACTCCCATGGTTTAACGAGTGAACAGTTTATATGCTTATTTTATATAATTTTGACTCTCTCTTTTTTCATGTACCCCCTGCAAAATTACTAATCTTGAATTTTCTGCATCAGGAACATGCATAGTTTAGTATTTCACCCCCATCATGATGCATGGAGGACATGTCCATCTTCGATGCCATAAAAGAAGTTGTTCATTTGCATAGAGGGTGTAGAGTAAAGGGAGTTGCCAGCCCCACCTGCACCTCCTATTTCCAAGCGTTCAATAATCGAAGGCATCGATGCATGTATCAGCGAGGCTATGGAAGGCTACCATGCTGAAACATGGAGAGCTTGCTTCTGTGCACATGTTTTGCTCCATTTGCCAAGGTTCTCATTTGAAACTGAAGGAACTAAGCAGGCATTAGCAAAAGGAACTAAGCAGGCATTAGCAATTGCTTTTTGTAAAGCTTCATTTTCACGTTTTCTTGACATTCGAAGCAAGCCAGTGGCTTTGAGGAAACCCTTTTTGCTGGTTATTGTAGCTCGTTATATATGTTGCCCTGGTTATATAAAAAAGGTTTTGGAGAAGGATGAGGATGAAAGTCTCACTGTGTGGGTCTCACTGTGGAGTCAAGAGTATCTAAACTTTTCTATTTTCTTTTCATTAATGGACGTTCATGTCCTAAAAAATCTGATCTCATGTTGTATTGTGTAGACATGTGAAATGGATTGCTTGGGCAATGTAGCGTTTGGCATGTCATTGTGGCATGAACAATCGTAGCCATCAATTTTGAATCAAACAGCTAAGAAGT